AAAAAAAAAAAAAAAAAAAAAAAAAAAAAAAAAAAAAAAAAAGTAGCGGAAAATTACCTGCCCCTCCCCCAGCTCCTCTGCCTCTATCACACAGAGAGCTGCAGCATATACGGTGCACATACTGAAGCACATTAAACGCAGAGAGACAGCTTCGGGCCATATTTGGGGAAGCACAGTATTCTCGGTGTAAAGGCTGTCAGGGGAAGGCAAAATGGGAGCCACACAACAAATCCAGGTTCAGTCAGATTTGCGTCACGTACCGTGCTGCCATGCCTAAATCACTCGCTGCCCCAGTTAAAGGAAGCACGAGTCCACCGCAAAATCCATCTGACTGAGTGACAGGGAGAGAGCTTTGATTTTTTTTCCATGCACTCACAGTAAGCACACCAAATGACCGGAGTTTGTTTATGCTGAACCACTCCCTGAAATGAGGTCATCGCGTCTGAGTAACTCAAAGCATCATGGATCCACTTCTACAGAGCTTCACAGTCAGTGCCTGAACACAGCTCACCACCAGCAGGAGGAAAACAGCACAATAACATGCTATAACAAAACAGAAGGCACGACCAGCCTCTATTTATTTAGTTATTTTTTTTCTTCTCTAAAATCCCACTTGACTTGACACAGACCTGGATTTTGTAAACACATTCAGGACAGGTAATGGAAGTGTATTCAATCGTGTTTACAGCGCTCCACAGCTGATAGCGTATGTCTGCAGTGATGGTGTTAATTTCCTGTTAGTTCCTTCAGCTGCTCCCCTTCTCCTGGAGGAGAGTGAAGGGTGGGGGAGGGGAAAGAGCCATGCAGCATGGAGAAGAAGCAGGAGAGACAAAAAGGAACTGGTGTGACGAGGTGGATGTAGGATTTGAAGACATAGAAAGCAGGGTAGTGAAAATAAAACGAAAATAATAATAATAGTAAAATAATAATAAAAAAATAATACAAAATATTTAAATCATGCAGCCCCTACAACTGCATGGGGAAAAATAGACTTAGTGCTGACAAATAAATAGCAAATACAGAATGTCACTTTTAATAATGCAAGTTATTTGAGTGGAGCCAGCTAGACTACAATYAATCTGAAAGGTCTAATGGAGAATAAAAAACATGGATGTCTTGTATAACCCCTGAGAGGCTGCATAATAACACAAAGGAAAAACAGCCAACTACAAGTGCACAAATATAAGCCCTTAAAACAAGATTTTTAGGTAATACTTTATTTGAAGGGGTGTGCAAAYGACTGACATGACACTGTCATAGATATGACATGACACATGTCATGAACATGAAYGAGGCTTCATTAATGTCATGACTGCTGTCACTAATTTGGTAAATAATGACACATTTAATGCAAAGTTGACATTGTTTAAAATGTCTTTGTTGTGGCAACTTGACATTAACCAAAAATCATATTGTGTGATATATTCACACTATATGAATTTTAAGAGTATCTCCTGACATTTCCATATCAGTACCATTTCGTGCCAATGTCAAGTTTTCATYTATTTTGTCTCGGCTACTGTCAAGTTGTRACAACRAAGACAGTGTAAACAATGTCAATTTTACATTYAACATGTCATGATTTACAAATAACACTTAATGACAACAGTAATAAACATTCATGAAGCCTCRTTCAGGTTCCTGACGCGTTATGTCATGTTTATGACAGTGTCATGCCAGTCTTATGTACACATTCAAATAAAATGTTAACAAGTTTTAATACTGTATGAATAAAAATGTTTGGCTGTGTGATCTCTTATCACAATATGGCCATCTTCAGTTTGTGCTTAACTGACATTTCCCAGACACAAGTAGGGTTGTTATGCATGCTTCCAAGTTAAAATGTTTCACTGACAAGTTCCACATGTCAGCTTTGTGGTCAGATTGGATCTTTTTTTCATAACAGGCATATTTTCTTGACTGAACACAAAGAAAGACACATGCAAAGCAAACTATGTTGTCAGTTAAATACTTATCAGCGTAATTCAGGACAGAGAGAAGGACAGCACAAACAGGGCCTACTGCCATGGACAGAGAGATTTAGGGTTATAAAGCTACAAAATGTCTCCTYTAATTTAAATGTAAGACAAGAAAGGGCAATTCTTACCACCCACTACATTTAGCAACATTCCAAGTCATGTGCATTAATGTTCAGTACTTAATATACTCTTTTTGTGCTATAAGTGATTCTAAAAGATCACCAAGATCAAAACTTACAGCAAATAGATAGCAAACAAAGTCAAAAAAGAACTGCCAGGGGAAAAAAAGATACATCCAACTGCATGTTGGTGACTTTTGATATTTATAGCACATTATGAAGAAAAAGAACAGTATGAATGGGTGAAGACTAGATTAATTAAAAAGACTGTTTTGACAATAAGATGGTGGGCAAAATTGTTAGAACCATGATTCACACCAACCTGCTTTGTGCAGCAGCTCTTTAAGGAGTGAGCACACTGTTTTTAACTGAAAACTGATTTTAATCATATCCAGGTGTTTCTTAGAACAGCAGTTAGTCAATACACTATTTATCCTGCATTTTTTATCCTTCACTTGATTAAAAAAGAAAATGTGACTGACTACAACAATTGTGTATAAGTTTTGTTAGGGTTTCTTAAAGTCAGATCATTAAACTTTTGAAAAAAATGTTTGAATTGTATTTTTATGTAAGAAATTAACTAATATTAAATTAAACTAAAATAAAATAAAATATATCTAAATAAGGTTATTCCAATGTTTGCCATAGCTTGTATCAGTTATAATAAAATTGTCACGAGTTCCTAGYTAACAAAGTACCGGGTAGTTGCCATTGAATATACAGTATACTGTATGAGTGAAATGTTTCAGCACCGTGGACAGCGCTTCCAACTGAAATAGCTAGAAAGAAGACAGACGAGTTTCACCACAGAGAAAGTTCATTTTCTCCTCAGAAAAAATATGATAATAAAGTAAGTGTAGTAACTTACTAACAAAACATGTAGCTAAACCAAGACATGATGGTACATCTCACCTTTTCTGATGTAGGTAAAGTCTGAGTTCTGGTAAAAGTGTCTCCTCCGTTAATACTGATGAGTTCACCATCTACAGGTGGAAACGGGGCGGGGAAAACCACTACGTCACTCTTCAGTGTGTCTGAGCTGAAACACACGTCATACTGCTGAGTAGCTTTAGAGTAAGACCAGCTCCCYTCAGGGTGGGTGGTGATCATTGGGGCGCTGTACCTGCTGAAAGAGCCGTCTGTCCTGTGGCATCTGACAGCTATTAAACTGATGAGACTCAGCAGAAAGATCACCGACACCGACACGATGGCGATCAGCAGATACAGGTTGAGATCAGAGAAGCTGTCCTCCTTTATAGGCACGTGTCTGAATGGAGTCTGGATGTCAGCTGAGCTTTCAACCACCACCACATCAACAGACACAGTAGCTGACAGAGAAGGTTCTCCGTTATCAGAAACCAGCACCACCAAGGGGTGAGTTTTCAGGTCGTTGTCGCTCATTCTCCTCTTAGTCCTGATCTCCCCYGTGCTGGTTCCGATCCTGAACAGGTTGTTTCCTTTGGGCTCAGACAGGTGATAAGAAAGCAGCGCATTGTATCCAGAATCTGCATCTACAGCCCTGATCTTTGTTATAAAATGTCCCGCCTCAGCAGAATAGGGGATGGTCTCACTGTTAACAGAACRGAGCTCAGAATAAGGAGCCAGAATAGTGGGACTGTTGTCATTCTCATCCAGGATTAAAACATTTACAGTCACGTTGCTGCTGAGCGGAGGAACACCAGAGTCTGTGGCCTGAACTTTAAACTGAAATGTTTTTAGCTCCTCATAGTTAAAAGACTGCAAACTGATAATGTCTCCAGTTTCTGAGTTAATGGTAACAAATAAATCCTTTGCTCTGTTTTCATTAATTACAGCATATGTTACTTTAGCATTTTCCCCCAAATCTGGATCTTCAGCAGCCATACTACAAATAGCAGCGCCTTTTGGGCCATTCTCTTTGACAAACACATTAATCACCGGTTCTTTAAAACGTGGCGGGTTGTCATTCACGTCAGCAACATGAACTGTAATCACGCTGGTGCTGAAAAGAGGCGGCAGCCCTTCATCCGTCGCAGTTATCGTTATGTTATATTGAGAAGCTCGTTCTCTGTCTAGCGCTCCATCTACTACTAAAGAATAATGATTTTTATACGTGTTTTTAATTTTAAACGGAACTGAATCAGCAATTTTCACTTGCACAGCACCGTTTTTGTCTGCGTCGTGATCTCTCACCGTTATAAGTCCCACCATCGTGTCGACAGGCGCATCCTCCCTCACCACGTTGACTAATGAAGTCACTGATATTTCCGGAGGATTGTCATTAACATCTATTATTTCAACAAGCACTTTACAATGTGATGCTCTTGAACTTGTCCCTTTYTCTTTAGCCTGGACCCGTAACTCAATCGCGTTGTTTTTTTCGTGGTCCAGACCACCTTTTACTGTAATCTCCCCCGTTAAAGCGTTAATTTCAAATTTATCCACGTTGTTGTCGTCATCCTGGTTGATAAAAGAATACTGTATCTCTCCGTTCAGACCTTCATCTAAGTCGCGAGCGTGCACAGAAATCACAGCTGCACCCGGCGGTGTGTTTTCAAGCACAGTGGTTTTATAGAGAGGTTTATCAAATACTGGGATATTATCATTAACGTCCTGGACATTAATGGTAATAAGCAGCGTGCCTGATTTGGGAGGTTTTCCTCCATCTATAGCGGTCAGAGTTAATTTTATAAACGGCTGCTTCTCCCGGTCTAAAGGTTTATGCAGAGCCAGCTCTGCAGACATGCTCGGCTCTCCGTTATTCTGTACATCTAGCGTGAAGTGCTCATTCTGGCTCAGCTTGTAAGACTTCACCGAGTAGCCGCCGACGTCTGCGTCAAACGCCTTCGGCAGAGCGAATTTTTCACCGGGAGAAGCCGACTCCGACACGTTCAGAACTATCTCCGGGATCCGAAAGGAAGGTGCGTTGTCGTTAACATCCAGGATTTTCACCTCGAAACGAAAGAGGTTGAGGGGCGCGTTAATAATGGCTTCCACTTCCAGCGAGCACTTTGTATTCCGAGCGCAGAGCTCCTCTCTGTCTATTCTGTCTTTCACGTGAAGCAATCCGGTCTTCACGTCCACTTCAAAATACCTCTTATTGGGTCCTGAAACTTTAAAATCTCTGCTCTCCAGTTCGTGAACATCTAGGTGGAAATCTTTCGCCACATTCCCGAGAGTCGCACCCGGGCTCGCTTCCTCAGTGACAGAATATACAATCTGTGCCTCCGCGACGCCTAGCAGGTGGAACACAAAGAAAATAAGATAAATCCACCTGGAGGAGGTCTGCCCTTGTTGCATCCTGTAGGCTTCTTACAAAAACCAATCCAACGGTAACATTCCTCAATTAATATCCAAAACACAATCATCCAGTGCGGAGAGACGTTCTCTTCTGCCAGACTTGCACAAAGAAATACAAATCCTCTTGAAAGGGAGGAGCGTTGAGCATTTAAATAAATATAAAATAAAGCATYAGGTGATAGTGACATCTTGTGGCAACGCCAAAAAACAAGTGTAGGGGGAAATAGATCATTTATGACGTAAATCTCGATTATGTAATTCAAATTCATCTTAAAYAAATAAATAACGTGCAGATCTCGAGTTTTAAAAGTTTAGTCCTTTTATAATCCGTGCTCTGCATTTTTTTTCTCCGTCTTATGTTTATGTGAGTGTGMAAAATTGTTAGATTATGTAACGTAACATATCACAAAGTGACACATGTGAAATTAAAAAAATATATATTTACAAATACAACTCTGAAGTTCACAGTAAACTTAAATTAAGTAGTTCAGTTTCAGGACCACGGAGAGCGACTAATGTCATCTGAGATCAGCGTCTCGGATTTATGATTAAAGTCCTATTATCACAGAAAACAGAATACAGTTGCTAACAAATACCAGCATGTTTACCATAACACAATTATTTTTTTTTCAAAGTGTATGTGCCCATAAGATTTTTCTAAAAAAAAAAAAAAGAACAAAAACAATAAAAAAAACTTTTATCTCAGCAGCACTTAAATTTCTTAATGAGCGTCTGTGATTTCTGAGTGTTTGTGCATGCATTTTTTTATTTATTCATTTTTTTTTATTTTATTTTATTTTTTATGTCTACATGATGTGCAACAAATTGCCCCTTGGGTATAATAACGAGTCTTGAACTTCTTGATCGGAAACATGCTATATCTTGTTTTTCTTCTTTTTTCCTTTGTCTTTTAGCAAGTTTACATACACATGCTCTCTTTAATTTCTTTGCTTTACTATTTATATTTGTGATTGTTTATTATAGGTGTTGACATTAAATATATTACACTTTTGTATCAATTTAAATTTTTAACAGCTGTGGTTTGCCTTGCAGAAACCAGTGACTTCTCGAGAAGTACTGATGGTTTTAGCATTTTAGAAAGCACATTCATGTAAATTAGACACATATAAGGAAATGCATGTCCTATGAAGGTAATGCAACATGTCCAGGATGCACATCCACTGCTGGAAATAGGCTTGAACTAACCTCTGATTCAGAGAGGGGAAATCATCCAAAGGAAATGAATGGATGTTTGTAGGACAGGGACGTGCTAACAAAAATGTTATTTCCTCAAAAGCATAAAGTGAACAAGTTGCTAAGTAAAATTAGTCAAATCAACCAAATTAAGTAAATATATCTCACCTTCTCTGATGTAGGTAAAGTCTGAGTTCTGGTAAAAGTGTCTCCTCCGTTAATACTGATGAGTTCAGCATCTACAGGTGGAAACGGGGCGGGGAAAACCACTACATCACTCTTCAGTGTGTCTGAGCTGAAACACACGTCATACTGCTGGGTAGCTTTAGAGTAAGACCAGCTCCCGTCAGGGTGGGTGGTGATCATTGGGGVGCTGTACCTGCTGAAAGAGCCYTCTGTCCTGTGGCATCTGACAGCTATTAAACTGATGAGACTCAGCAGAAAGATCACCYACACCGACACYATGGCGATCAGCAGATACAGGTTGAGATCAGAGAAGCTGTCCTCCTTTATAGGCACGTGTCTGAACGGAGTCTGGATGTCAGCTGAGCTTTCAACCACCACCACATCAACAGACACAGTAGCTGACAGAGAAGGTTCTCCGTTATCAGAAACCAGCACCACCAAGGGGTGAGTTTTCAGGTCGTTGTCGCTCATTCTCCTCTTAGTCCTGATCTCKCCGGTGCTGGTTCCGATCCTGAACAGGTTGTTTCCTTTGGGCTCAGACAYGTGATAAGAAAGCAGCGCATTGTATCCAGAATCTGCGTCCACAGCCCTGATCTTTGTTACAAAGTATCCCGCCTCAGCAGAATAAGGGATGGTCTCACTGTTAACAGAACCGAGCTCAGAATAAGGAGCCAGAATAGTGGGACTGTTGTCATTCTCATCCAGGATTAAAACATTTACAGTCACATTGCTGCTGAGCGGAGGAACACCAGAGTCTGTGGCCTGAACTTTAAACTGAAATGTTTTTAGCTCCTCATAATTAAAAGCCTGCAAACTGATTATGTCACCAGTTTCGGAGTTAATGTTTAAAACTGAATTTATTGGGATATGTTTTGAAAAGTTACCTGAAAGTGAATATGTGACTTTGGCATTTTCTGCTGTATCAGGATCTTTTGCATTTACATGTCCAATTGTGGTCCCAGCTCCACTTTTCTCCTCCACATACACATGTATTACAGGCTCTGAGAATAGAGGAGCATTATCATTCACATCAGAAATGTGAACAGGGATAACAGTGGCACTTGACAGAGGTGGATCACCTTCATCAGTAGCCACGATGGTCACGTTATAGTGAGCCATTTTCTCTCTATCAAGAGGACCATCAACTGTTAAGGAGTAGTAATTTTTATAATTCAGTTTAAGCTTAAAGGGGACCAACCCAGCAATTTTAGCATTAGTGACACCATTGTGTCCACCATCTTTATCAGTAATAGTCACCAGAGCAACAACTGTGCCGACCTCAGCATCCTCCTTAACTGGACTCATTAGAGATGTAACCAGGATTTCTGGTTTGTTGTCATTAACATCAATGACTTCTACTAGCAGCTTACCATGCACGCTTCTAGAAGGCGTGCCTTTATCTTTTGCCTGTATTCGAATATCATAAGCTGCATTTTCTTCATAGTCAACTTTTCCAATCACAATTATTTCTCCTGTGTCTGGGTTTAATGAGAACAAAACTCCAGGATTAAAGTTTCCTCTTTCAATAAATGAATACACTATTTCACTGTTTATTCCCTCATCTAAATCTGTAGCACTTACAGTCAGAATGGGGGTCTGAAGTGGTGCATTTTCAGGGACCTGAGCTTTATACAGAGTCTGCGTAAACTGTGGCATATTGTCGTTTACGTCTGTAACTTGAACAATAATATTTAAAGTTCCTGATCGTGGAGGTTTACCTCCATCAAAAGCGGTTAAAGTCAGATGAATAACATATTTTTTCTCCCTATCTAATGCTTTTTGCAGCACAAGCTCTGCAGACTCACTGTGCTGTCCACCGCTCTGCACATCCAGAGAGAAATACTCATTTGGACTCAGCTTGTAGCTTTTCACTGCATTACTTCCTGTGTCTGCATCATTTGCCATCGGGAGTAAATACCTCTCCCCCGTGAAAGAAGATTCTGAAATATTCAGAAAAAAATCCTTTTCACGGAAGGATGGTGCATTGTCATTAATGTCAATAATGTGGACCTCTATGCGATGCAGATGCATCGGGCTGCTCAGTATGGCTTCTATTTTCAGGGAACATTTTACCGTGTTTGGACAGAGCTCTTCACGATCAATCCGATCACAAACAAACAGAGAACCAGTTTTTAAATCCACGTCAAAATAATTCTTAGTATCCCCAGAGACGATTCGTAAATCCCGTGTTTCCAGTTCGGAAGTGCTGATTTGTAAATCCTTAGCGAGGTTAGCCACCACCGTTCCTTTGTCAACCTCCTCCGACACGGAGAAGGAAAGCTGCGCGACCGACGAGCCGCAGAAAAAAAGCAGAACCGGGATTTGGATCCAAAGTGTGCCTCTTGGTCCACCGCCACCCATCGCTGTCACGCATTGAAATTATGTCCTATTTTTAAACTGGACGTGAAGATCAGACGACGCTCTCTCGGTATTGTGTCCAGTTGTTTCCACACAAAGCACCGGGGCGGACTACCGTGATTACAAAAAGGAGGAGTCTGAAAACCGAAAAAAAAAAAAAAAAAAAAAAAGCCGGAGATTCGTGGTCTCCGGCGACATCAGGTGTTGGTATTGTAAAAACATAACACAAAATAAAACAGAAACACTACTAATAATGTATAAACAAATATAAACTATATTTTAATACAATAAAGAGACAAAATATTTATCCATGTATTTACATTGATTTTGGTATATATTAGGCATAGATGCAAAATGAAAAGTGTTCAACTTTCACTTAAAAAAAAAAAAAAAAAAAACTTCGGGACGAAGGACAGTTCCATAGATTTTCACGGCTGATTATTCGCATCACTGCTTAACCAGTATGTAATGATTGTTCTTTCAAACAGCGTACCAAAATTTATTATCAAACTTGTGAAAACATAGTATCTGATTCATTTAATCAACACAACGAAAATCAGTATTACAAAACCAATTTATAACAAACTATTTCTTTTCATGAAAGGCCCCAACGGTTCAAAAGCTTCAAATCTGAGCAGCAACGACTTAATATATATA